CGTTTTAAAAAAATCAAGCTCTTTTACTAGCTTGGTGCCAGCTAAATATATATTATGATATATACTTGGAATATACTCTATGGTAAAAGTTGTATGGAAACAAACTGACCAAAACTGTTTTTTTTTATTTCAACATTTTGTATACTGGTATTCAAATAGGAAGAATTCACATTTTAACCATTGTCTTCAAATTTCAGTTTTGCTTACATGTATACGTATATATGCCCAGACCTTAGTTTCTAGAGAGTGGTCACTCCACACCAGTATTCAAAACTAAGACAGACCCCTTGGCCCAGAGCTTAGAATTTTACAGTAGGGATAACAAGTTGGGCCTACTCCTCATCGGTCTCTTGATGATTGTAAATACTGTTCAAAACTTTACATAGTGACAGTGTATTTCTTTTGGTCATCAAAACTGCATATTAATTCACCACTCTGTCATTTCAAAAATGATATTGGCTTTTATTTTGAGTTCATTCTATTTTTTTTAGCTCCGCTGTTGACTTTGTCGAGCGGAGCTTATCATGCATGTATGAGTGATTGCAGTCGTCGTCTGTGTCAACTTTTTACTTATTCAACTTCTCTTGAAAACTACAAGCCTTACTGCTCTGATACTTGGTATATATATATGCATGTCTCTTAGATTTGTTCATTTTATTATGATATCTTCAATTCTCTCATGATATTTTCGACTACTTGTTAAAACCGCAAATCCGATTGCTTTGATGTTATGCATACATATGTACATACCTCTTTTAGATTTGTTCATATTCTAATGATATCTTCAGTTCTAATTGAAATGTGCTTTGCTAACATCGGAGCTATCTCAGCCAAGAGGCTCTTGTTAAATTTTATTAGTAGCAGAAGTAAATTCTAAAAGATGTTTCAAATAAAAGCTAACGCAACTGCATTGCTTAGTAGCAAATGATCGCGGTAGCACAATCTGATCATGCTGCGTTTCACAATTGAGAGGTTTTATTTTGAGTTCAATCTATTTTGAGCCAACACTGTTCAAGCAGAGCCAACAACTATTTTGATCTGTAGGTCAACTTTTTGAAGTTAGTGACAAACACTGCTTCCCACACCTATCACTAGCTTGAATCAAGATCCTGAAACGCTTATTATCTATCTCCTGGTCACTGGTAGCATAGTGGTTGTCACATCAGACTCATGATCGGTAGACCCAAGTTCAAATCCTACCTCAGGCTGAACATCAAAAAGGTCAATCCTTACCCTGGGTTGTGCCACAGACTCAATGGAAAGGCCAATTCCACTGGCCGAGATTCATTCACTAATGAATGCGACTTCGGGGGAACCTTAGTTAAGGTTCACAGCTGCTTGTGTTCGATCGAGCCTGGTTGACGCCAGGATAGCGCATTAAATTGCCAATTTGCACATACAAAAAAATGTCCGGAGAGACAACAGTGATATTCAATGTCCGGAACTGTCACCTGGGACAAAAAATATTAAAAAAAAAAAATCTCTCTCCCAATCCATACCAATTTGATGAGATTTCATTAGTGTACATTGTAACTCCCCTAATTACTTAATGTTACTTTGTTCAGAAGAGTGATTTTAAGCCCCAAGGTCATTTTCAAAAGACAAGGCCTGCATACTGATTAGTCAAAAATTCAGTTTCACCTCTTGTCATCATGAGTGTCATTTTGAAAAATGCATCTCATTAATTTGTTTGCATACCCGTAATGTGTGCTGTAGAATGGGGAATTTTTTTATTTTCTATTAAAGATGATATTTTGTTGCTGCAAATTAAATTTTAATGCTTGTATTTGAAAGCAATATTTGATAAAAGTCGTATCTTGCTGTAGGTAAAGTAAATAATTTTAATACAAATTAAAACTAAAAAAAAAAATATTTTTTTTTTGTTTTTCTTAGAACGAGAAGCTAAATAGTGTGTATATTTTGTGCCTTGTGTAAAATTTTAATTTTAATTTTAAATGAACAAAATGCTACACCCGCAATGCCATTCACATTATTGGATCTCTTAATATTCTGAAATCATACAATGTGGCGTGGTTTCTAGAAATATTGTGTAATTTTAAAATTGATGCAGACTGCATACTCATTTGTTGAGTATCTCTTAAAATTACTTTTACGGGTCATAAAGTGTGTATCGTCTGGTGCATTGAAGGGGTGAATGACTAATGTACATTGGAATCCATTTAATGATATAACCCCCCCCCCCTCCCATCCCCCTCCACACACACCTCATTAACTACAATATTTATGTTTTATCCAAGATGTGCAGTCAAGCTTCCAAGAAAACTATTTTAATTTGAGTTATGATGTGAATTGTAATTATTCTTTCTATTCAGATGTGAGTAAGACAGGGTCATTGGAAGTGAGAGATGAGTCGTCCACTCATGGACAAACTGAAATATTCACTATCAATCTTGATTCTCTTGATAATTATGATGAAACAGGGTCAGACACCCCATACACAGCAACTATGATGCCTGACACAACTCTAGATCTGCTAACTACAGTTGATAGTGATAGTCCCTGGATTGGCAGTCGTAATCAACAGAGAACAGATACCCCAAACACAGTAACTATGGCTTCTGATACAACTCCAGAATCGGGTAAAGATCTGCTGACCCGGTTTAATAATAGTGTCCGGAGTAATGGAAGTATCCAGGTGGACACAGTCTCTACAGCTTCAACTCCAGAATCAAGTAAAAATCTGCAGATCATGTTTAATAATAGTGTTCAGATAAATGGAAGTAACCAAGTTAACACAGTCACAGTGGCTTCGGATACAACTCAGGAATCGGGTAAAGATCTACAAACCACATTTAATAATAGTGTTCAGAGTAATGGAGGTAACCAGGTGAACACAGTCACTATGGCTTCGGATACAACTCAGGAATCGGGTCAAGTTCTACAAACGACACCTAATAGTCCTTTGATTACTGGAGGTAACAAAGTGCAAACACATGCCATTATGTCATCATCCATAACTGGAAGTGGTGTTATGCAAGATGTTAGCCATGCAGGGAGCTTACAAAATGTCAGCACTGCGCTAAACCCATCCACAAACTCAAGTAAAATACTAGATCAGGAAGTAGAACTGACATCTATCCAGTCAAAATCTGATAGAACTTCAAAACTAATACAAACGCCGTTCCTGAACTCATCTTTCTTAGACAATCATCAGGCTACTGCTACAATTCCTGACAATATTGTTTCCATGGTTACCACTTCCTCTTTGTCTAATGGCTCACAGTCTACCGATGACACTCTGCAAAGACTTGTTTCTATGGTAACCAGTAAAGACTCGAATGATGAGGTGAATATCACCACTCTTGAGAATCAATCCCCGGCTTATGCAAACAAGATTCCAGTTACCATGACAATGAAAACTGGAAAATCTTCAGTACCAACGCCTGCAGAGCAGACACCTGAGTTCATTTCTAATACTGATGCAATCCAACAACTGACCACAGCGTTATCATCCTCATCTTCCACATCAGTAACTATGGCATCAGGCAGTTCTAAATCTACATTCCCATCTCCATCAATCAATAGTACTGCTGCATCTGTTATTGGTTTGTTATAATTTATAACTTTAATTTTTTAAATGTGTACATGTATGTTGTAAAACTAACCATGCTTGTCATTTGCAACTTGCATGTATTTTTAACACACTAGAAAATCATTCCAACCTGTATTATTGTTTTCCACCAAAAATGTTTGTGCTGTCTTTTTAAGTAGCTGTAATTTTTGTACTGATGTCAAAAGTTCATATTTAATGAGTGAAAAAAACACCAGAAAGGGAACACTTTGAAATAAGTAAGAAAAATGTAACATTTTGCCCCAAATCTACATATACATGTAAAGTTGTGGTCCAACAGTTTGACAGGAGATCATATGTTGTTCACTTCTACAAAATGTCTTTGAAAATTACTGAAATTATTCTGTTACTTTAAGTGGTTGTTTACAAGGTGTGATGTCAAAGTTCAAACCCATCAGCAGGGAGTGCAGGTATAAACTGTAACAGCCAATTGCCATTGATGTATAATATCACTGTTTAACAGTCCAAGCATTACTTAACATATACCAGGTGTACAACAGAGCAATCTTTTTAAATATGTCTTAGAAACATTTTGTAAATACTACTACATTGAATAAGTTGAAATTATTGATGAAAAATTATCTGTACTTGCAAGTAATTTTCTGAAAATACAAAGCCAGCTGATAGCTACTGTGAAATACTTTATTTTCACTGGAATTAATTTTCGCTGAAAAGACTCCTTAGGTATTTTGTATGGAATTTATTTTCACTGATTTTTGATGAGTTGAATGTGAAATATAGGAAAAAAAGTATATTCGATGTATTTTATTTTTACTGAATCACTCCTTCGGCGAAAATTAATTCCAAGCGAAAATAAAGTATTTTACAATAGCTGAGAAGTTAAGTTGAACTTGGACAGTACTGTAGTTGTCATAATAATCCATTCTGCATTCTAACTTTTCCATTTCTAGTTATTGCAAGATATGTTTACTATAACGTATAATTTACTAATATTGCTGTTTGTTTGTAGCTCTAACTGGCTGACGAGCATAGACAGCGCCCTCTATAATGTGTTTTCACAACCATCAATAGAGGGGGTAGTTTATTATCATTTCAAAAGATTTCAAAATTTACTAATATTGCCATTTGTTTGTAGTGTCCAACTGTCTGACGAGCATGGACAGCGCCCTCTATGATGTGTTTTCACAACCATCAATAGAGGGAGTAGTTTATTATCATTTCAAAAGATTTTAAAATTTACGAATATTGGTGTTTGTTTGTAGTTGTCCAACTGTCTGACAAGCATAGACAGCGCCGTCTATGATGTTTTTTCACAACCATCAATAGAGAGGGTAGTTCACTAAAATGTCAAAATACTTTTGTTACTAAATCTTTGTTCATAGAGAGAAAAGTGTTTTGTCCTTGGTGCATATTAATTCTTAAAATGTATTTTATTTCTGTTTTTTAGATCCATGTTCGTCCTCTCCGTGCCAAAATGAGGGAGTATGTAGTCTGAGTGGGGATAATTTTACATGTGAGTGTGCCAATGGATTTGATGGAGAAATATGTGATATTGGTGAGTACAGATGCAGATTCTTAATCTAGCTAAGCGTTGAGTTACGCTAGAACTTACTATATATCAATGATCTCAGAGTACACCTTCTAAAGTGCGATAGTTGTTGCACCACGCATATGCAAGATTTATGGGTCTCATATAAACAAAGATGGCGGCTAGTTTTGACTGTTGCGCAGATCAACGAGTACAAACTGAGACACTACCAAAGTTTAATTAGGTATTTTTTCAGGTGATTGGAAGGTAGCAAAGAAGTCATCTGTGGTAATTAGTGCAAATCGCGCCGAGATCAAATCTCATACTTGTGATTAACATTAGAAGAGCGCATTGGATTGTGGGAAAATCAATGTTTATCAACACAAATGTTGCACGTGTGCGGCACGATGACCACTGCCCTTTAAACAATTTAACAATTTATAAATTTGATATTTGCTTTCTCCATAGATATAAATGAATGTAGCAGTGAACCCTGTAGTAATAACAGTACTTGTAAAGATAGAATAGATGGGTATATATGTCACTGTTCTGCTGGATGGAATGGTGACAACTGTACACAAAGTAAGTATCCAAATATTCTGTACATGTTTCACCAACTTAGGTACAGTATAATTGTATAGATAGAATAGATTAGTATATATATATACAGCCGGAACGCAACTCACTGTCATAGAGGGCGTTTATTAGACATAGGTCACATGACAAATTTCAAATGTCGACTATAGAATTACGTATTTCCGATAGGCCAGCAAAACTGTTATTTTGAACACCATAGTCTTTGAAAATTTGAAATTTTCTACCATATATAATGAAATCTAGCTCTGATGTGCTAAATAGTATTTTTAGAATCGCCACACATCATTTTTCCTCGCCGCTAGCGAGGGAAAAGTGGATCATGGGTTTTATTCATAGTACTTCCGGTATATCTTCGCATGTAGACGGTGTAGCACGATAAGCAAGATATCGCTAGAAAGCTAAATATGTCTACTTTAAGCTCAGAAATTTTCTTAATAATTATAAAAAAATCCGACACTACCGAATCTACAAGAGTAAAATGGTAGAATGTTTCTTCATTTACTTGTACTCTAGATTTCGATTTTTTTACTAATGATCCATGATTTCACGCTATAGTGTACTTTTACTTGATAAATACCATGAAGTTCATATATCTCTTTTTTACTGATTTGACTATGATGTGTTGTACTTGTATTGTATTGTCGATTGTTTTCAGTCGTTTGTTTTGTGTTCTTGTACTTGTACACGTTTGTAAACACATCCACCATATAATTCTGACTCAAGAAAATAAACGTGTACACACATCATCGTGTATGTTAACCCATAGATGAGGATGAATAAAACAAAATACATTGAAACCCTCAACATGACCTCAAAACACCACAATACGATTAGTAAGCAATACTGGTCTCTTTCGTAAAAGGTTCGGATTAAATTCGGCCAAAAGACATCCAAACACTGAAGATTCAGAGGCCGCTCGATAAACATGTCATGCTACGCCAACACCATCAGTAGATAGAAAGTCGCTTGTCAGTGCAAAGTTCTAAATTGCAACGCCCTCTAAGTGTAGCAGTGATCTTTTCATATTATGAATTCAAACATATTTTTTGTCCTAGTCAAAACAGAAAATGAAAATGTATTTTCATTAAAAAAATGTGGCGCTACTCAAATCTAATAATCGTGCCCAATACCAGTCAAAACGCTTGGCTGTGTTCCGGCTAAATTTCACTATTCTGCTAGTTGGGATGGTGACAACTGTGTACTGTAAGTTGGTGCCAAGTAAACAAATCCCTTGACTTGATTCTCAAATTTTGAGTTACCATGTGGGCCGCATTGGA